AAATTACAGTCATCTACAAGCTTTGCAAGTGGAAAACCTGAAAAATCAACAGTGTATCAAATACTTGTCCTCCCCACTGTAGCTCAGTAAGAAATAAAATTATCCTTAGGTTTCTGGAAAATCTCTACTTAACGAGAGCATGTTATCTTTTAAAAGCTTATTCTTTGTAGCGTATCTGCTCTGTTACACTTACTGTGTTGTACCTTTTTTATTTTTAGTTTAAATGACGTTCTTTTGTTTCTGATGAAACCTGATGGCAAGCGCTCATAAATGCTGACTGTAGCATAATGCRTCTGCTGTACTTTTTTTTTAGAAATTTATCAGATGCAAAAATCCCTGTGTTGACACAATGCAAAGCTTAACCCGTGTTCAGATGTGACAGCACATATAAGGACATTTGGCCTCTTTAGTCCTGTCTCAGGGAAGACTTTTCCATGTTGAGTGCTCTGCACAAAGCCAGAGGAAGGTCAGAAATAACTCTAAATTGAACGTGCATGTTTTTTTTAATATGTCACATTTATTTCAAAGGTCAGTTGTAATAAATTTAAGAAATTGTGTTTTATCATGTGCCAAATACACTTTACATTGAAAAACACAAGACTAATTTATAATCAAGAGCAAAMATTACTAAAGTAGTGAAGTGTTTTGTCCTTTGCCTTGATTTATTGCTGCATACACATTGACCTACAATTTTAAAGAAACATTTTCTACTTCATTGGTTGTAAAAACTTTGCCCCTGAGACAAAAAATCAGCAATCGAGTGTTGATTCTTTAGARTTTGTTGTTTTACATTGTATCCACTGGAGGACCTTTTGTTATTAATTTAATTTTTTTAAATGATAAAGTCCATCAGTTTGTGGTGTATGTTGAAGGCAGTGGGGGTGGGGGGTTACACAGCAAGAGCAAAACTGGAGTAATGAGGCATTTATTACAATCAGTTATTTTTCCCTTCATTTAAAAACCATCTGCCACATTCACCAGTGTTTTGGAACTGAATATTCCATGTTGTTGCAGTTTACATCTCCTCTWGTTCTGTCCAAACCAAATCAGAACCGAGAAGAAAATGTTTTGTAAAGATAGGGGTATRACAGTACACTCAGCTTACAAAAACAAGCCTACATACTGCTGTCACAAGAATAATAAAAGATGAGATTTTAACAATGTTTTAGGTAAAGTTGAAAATGACATACATTTTTTGGGGAAAAAGTTATTTATTGAAAACTTTGAGAGGGATTYAGCTGAGTAGCATGACTCTTGATTTGTCTATAGTCTTTTCAAACCTTGGAACAATACTCACACTTTGAATCACTTTTTAAACTTCTCATTAAAGTTATTTGCATAACCTTCTTTTGCAGTTTACGTAGTTTTTTGCGATAKTGCACAGCTTGTTATCGTGATGACGGTAAACTTTCAATATATTGTGCAGCCCTGAACATCTGTTCACTGTTCCAAAGTTTGGTTTAAATCAGCATATTTGATTTGTTTATAAGAGATTTTGTTTATAAACCTTTGGGCAAAACGAGCAACCCATTTTTTTASTGGTTTTATTCTTTGACACTAATAACGCTGTCTCTTTTTTCAGGCCCTCCAGAGAACCCCATGTGAAGACAAAAATCTGTTCAAGAAATGGTTCCTCTTCCTCTGAAATAACAGAGGCGCTCCGTTTGGTGGGACTGCTTGGCCTGATTTTAAAATCAGCGTTTGGATATGAAACACTTTAAAGAAACACTACAAACTTTGTTTTCCAATATAATATAGTGTATTTCTCATTTATGGCAAGTTTTATCACAACCCACTTGAAGCACTTGAAGGCTTCATTCCTGAATGAAGAGTAAACACATTAGCTGTGCGTTTATGTGTGGAAAATCAAGCATTGACTTTGGTGGATTAAAGTCTCAGACTGTGTCAGAAAATCAGACCTTTTAAGGTTTAAAAGGGCTTCTTGCTGTTTGTAGTGACTGTGCACCGTGTAGGTCTGCTGTATTGGGAGATGTTCCAGTTCAGCAAGTACCCCATGGACATTCTGGAGATGCTAAGTGGACACCAAGCCCACCAGTTCAAAGGCCTTGGGTTAGATAGACAACTGAGCCACCAGCAGCAGGTCCAGCTGCAGCACCAGCAGCAGCTCCAGCAGCAGCATCAACCCTCCGCAGAAGCCTCTGGGAGCTTGTTGTCCGGACTCGGACTGGGATCTCTTCAGACGTCTCGGAGCAATGCCTTCGCCGATTCCTCCTCGTTGTTTGCAAAAATGACCGCCCCTCCCCCATCCATCTCCCACCAGAGCCAGTCGTCCTCATCGTCCCACAGCTCCAGGAAGTCCAGTAAGATCAGCAGCAGCAGTGTCAGTGGGAGTTCGACGTCAGGATATCCCCAGTTTCTGCGACCGTTTCATCCGGCCGAGGCTGCGCTGGCTCAGGAGCAGCTCCACTCTGGGATGGGTCGTTTCGACTTCAGCGCGAGCAGCAGTGGGGCGAGTGCTGGGGTGATCGGGGTYACACCCGCACCTCCACCTCCTCTCCACCCTGGTCTGTCTGTACCTCAACCTTCCTCTGGCCCRTCGTCCTCTTCAGCTTCTCCCTCCACCTCTTCTTCAGCGTCCAACAACCCCTCCAGCAGCACTGCGGTCCCCTTAGTGGGCCAGTCTGACCCACGTAGCCTCCACCAGCAGTTCAGCTGCATGCTTGCTGCCAACCAGTACTTCCTGTCTGGTGTCCCCACCAACAGCAGCCTAGAGCAGTTCCTCGTCCAGCAGGGCACCCACAACCACTTGGGTTTAGGGCTTGCCCAGGGGGCCGCCGAGTCCAACTCGGCCCTGGCCCCTCCCCCTGCCCTCCACTCCTCCCACAGCCACAGCGCCCCACAGCCTCAACAGCAACAACAGCAGCTAACCCCTCATGCCTTATCCCACCCACACAGCCACACTCACCACCCACACCCCCTCCACCCGGCCCCCCAGCCTGCCTCATTGAGCAGCTTTGATTTCCAAGGCATTCCGGTGCTTTCCTCTAACCAGTTAGCATCATTAATGCAGCAAGAGGCGGGCATCCCCCTCCCCCTGCCTCTTCACCTGTCGCTCTCTAAAGACGACTCGACGAAGTCAGGAGACGGCTCGTCTGCGACGACTTCAGGTGGGGGAAGCAGGAGGAAGAAAGCGATGGCTGGCTACCTGCCCCAGAGGAAAACGGACAACAGCAGCAGCAGTCACAGCAGCACTGTTAGTAACTGCCACAACAGCAGCTCGAGTGGGCTCAGCCAGAGCTCCTCTTCAGGCCTGGTGGGAGGAGGATCTGGGGGAGTTGGGCTAAGTGGCATCGGAAGTGAGACACAGCACTCCGCTCTGCTCTCATCTTCCTCACAGCAGCAGCAGTCATCTTCTACCGTCTCATCTTCATCTGCCCCCACATCCTCTAACTCCTCTTCTGTACTTGTAACCAATGGTAACCAACAACTGTCCAAATCCCAAGAACGTCTCAGCAGCAGCTCTTCTAGGCAGCCTGAGCCAGAACCCGTGTACCACTGTGGTGAATGTGGCAAAACCTTCACTCACCTCTCCAGCCTTCGAAGGCACCTCCGCAGCCACGGCCTGACGCCGGAAAGCCAAAGCAGGAAGTCGGACTGCAACTCTCCCAGTCCGGAGAGAATATTCTGCTGCGGCGAGTGTGGGAAGAGATTCAAAAAGCGAGGTCACCTCATCCAGCACAGCGTCACCCACTCAGAAAACCGGCCGTTCGTCTGCAGCATCTGCCAGAAGTCGTTTAACCGCCGAGAATCGCTCACGAGGCACGAGAAGATTCACGACGAGAAGCCCTTTCGCTGCCCGGCGTGTGGGCGTTGCTTCCGCGAGAGCACTTCACTCCTGAACCACGCCGCTTCGGGCGCGTGTGGCAAACCGCCTCGCAGTTCTAAAAACCGGCCGAGCAGCGGAGGGAATGCAAGATCCAACCCGAGCAGCAGTAAAATGGGGAACGGTGGAAACGGAGTGGGAATTTCAAACAACGGAGTGCTGGCAGGTGACAAGTACGCAACAGATTTTTCCAGAAATCGATACCAAAACCAAGCAGCTTATAACACTGGGGTCGATGACTACAGACGCTCACAGACTTCAACGCTGTACTCCTCAGAAAGTACATTAGGCAACGTAATGTCCAACCAAACTCTTCGAAAGGCCCCTTTAGCCCCAACTCTTCATCCCCATCCCCAAAGTCAGCAACAGCACCACCATCAGCAACAGCAGCCACACCTTCCTCTGTCTTCCCTATTGGATGATTCAGAGGATGAGGTCACTAGCAGTGCAATGTCAGCTATTGCAGCTGCGGCTGCAGCCTCTTGTGATATCAATGCAGAAGGCCGCGATGGAGAGAGGAGGGACATCATTGGAGGCCTGCTGGGGGGGTTAGGTTTTGGTAACTTAGGTGGACCCTCATCAACATCTACCCTAAATGGTTCCACCTTTCCTTTAACTCACCCCAGCTTACCCCAGGCGAAGCCAAAGAGGCCACGGAAACCCAGAGAGAAAAGGGACCCAAACACCATCGTGAGGAGGAGGAGGAGCCCGGCACCTCCGGGGGACGGCTCGGAGAGGCCCTACGGTTGTCAGATTTGYGGCAAACGCTTCCGGAGGGCAGAAACGCTCCGACGCCACAACCGCGTTCACACCGGAGAGAAACCCCACGGCTGCGAGGTGTGTGGCAAAATGTTTCGAGAGCCCTTCCACCTCACCAAGCATCTGACTGTGCACTCGGGTCAGAAGAACTACAAATGCAATCTTTGTGGGAAAATGTTTGCCTATGCACAGAGCCTCGTGAGACACGGGAAACTGCACAGAAAAGGTGAAATCGACAACCAGGGCCGGAGGATAAAAGGTGCYGCCGCCGCCATCAGTCAAGTCGCCAATTCAGGGAACTCTGACTACTTCTCATCGTGTTCCCAAGAAGAGAAATCCCCAACGTCTGGCACCCCGTCTCAGAGGCTCTACACCTGCACAGTGTGCTGGAAGTCATTCCGCCACTATTTCCACCTTACAGCACATCAACAGACTGTCCACGGTGGTGGGGTGGGGCTGGAGAAGTCCTATCGGTGYGAGGTGTGTGGCAAAGCCTTTGCTTACTCCAACAGCTTAGTGCGGCACAAGTTATCTCAGCATGGCATCGACCGCAGTGGCCAACGTGTCAACCAGTCTCAGCCGTCCGGATACTCGCCGCTCTTTTATGACTCCAGCTCAGGTTCAAACTATGCTGGATCGTCCCACATGCAGCAAGGGGTCTCAGAGCAGCAACCGCAACAACAACCTCAACAGCAGCCGCAACAACCACCACCACCACAACAACAGCAACAACAACAACAACAACAACAACAAATACAACACCCTTTTCACTACCACGCAACAAACTTCCAAAAGCGGCATGGTCAGACAAGAAAGCACCGCAAGAAAAAACGTCGAGTAGTAATCCACAGCATCATGAGAGATGGGAAGCTGGTGGGAGTCCCTTTGAGTAAAGACACTCGCAGGAAGCTGCTGATCCTGAGGAAGAGGAGGGGCAAACTGCAGGCTCAGTTCAACAGAAACAAGCTTCTGGCCCAGTTGAGAAAAAAGGGCTGCATAATGAAAGTGAAAGCCTGGTGCGGTGGCGCCGTCAAAGTTACCGGGCTCACCTGCATGGATGTCCCCCTCAAGCGTTTCCCCTGCCCCATCTGCCCCAGCACCACCTACGCCAAACAGGGCTCCCTGCTGGTGCACCACGCCGTCAGGCACCCACCGAGGAACTCGGGCCGCCACGCCCGTCTGAGGTGCCAAGTGTGCGGGAGACGGACCTCCTCGTTACACAAGGCCTTGAGACACAGGGCCCAGCATCTGAAGCAAGCCGCTTTCCAGTGCCACAGCTGCCACCACCGCTTCTGGAACCCTCGTCTCCTGGCCCGCCACAAGTTCTCCTGCAGGGGGCCGACCGCCGGCGGCACGGGCGAAACCTGGGAACTGACCAAGACGAGACCGCCGGCTCACGCCCAGTCGTTTCGGGAGCCTTCGCCAGTCCTGTTGACGATTCCAGTTCTGGTCCAGCCTGAGAGATCAACGGTTCTAACTGAGTACAGTCATTGAAACAAACTGTTTTGTTTTGTTTTTAATACTAGACTGTTTTTATATATATTTTTAAATAATCCAGGATGAGAACAAGAGCTAGCAAGTTGTTAACAAAAACATAAAATAAACAGTGGTAGAGTGGGGAAGATTTAGAATAACTACAAAATATCCTGATACTCCCATGTGGATAAACCTGTATGCAGTCCAAATGGACTACAGCAAAGGTGGTTGATGAAATGACACGGACTTCTAAAGACCTAAAGTAAAAACCACCCAAGCATCTGCCTCTTCTTCCCGTAAAGTTCATGATTTTAACACCATCTGTTAGAAAAATAACTCAACTTTAGTTTCTGTCATAGTTTTAGTCAGTTTCTCATTTGATGTGTTTGAACATCAGAAAAACCAGATGCTTGTAGAGGTGCGGTACCTCCGTTTGTTTTCACGTTATTCACAGTTAAACAGTATAGTCCTTGTCTATTGCACTGTGTTTATCCTTGGAAAAACTCACTTTATATACCAGTGTGACATTTGACCTGAAGATAAATTAATCTCTAGAGATTTGATACCAAGTAGTTAATAAAAATGGCCTTTGGCACAGTATGCCATTTATTTATCACAGAAAGCCATGCTGGTTTCTGTACTGAGGTGATTTAAAGGAGGTTTATTTTTATTTGTATGTACACTACTTTTATGTTTTAAAGACGTGGCTGAAGCTCAAGCACGACTCAAAACTGTTTAGGATTTGAAAAGGACGAGAAATAAAGTGTACTGTACAATTTTAATATTTTATTATATACTATTTTCAAGTTGTTTTTTTTACTCCCAAGTATTACTTTTGTCATTGTTGGTATTGTATCAGTGGGAGGGGACACAGTCGAACTTTGTAAAACAGCGGGATGATTATATGTATCAATGTGATTAATTTTTCTGCCCTTCTTCCTGAGCCCTGTTTACCTGCTCGCTCATCGCCACAATTGTCCCGTTTTTTTTTTTGTGACAAAAGYGTGTTCACATAGTTCATATTTAGGTCCTGTCCGGATGTGCTTCTTCCTTTTTTATTTTTATTCTGTAAAACTAAAACATGTAAAAATATTACTAAATTACTATCCTTTTTTTAAAGTGAGTTGTTGAAAACCTTCCAATAAAAATATGAAACGTTACAGTTTTTTTTTATTTAAACTTTTCTAATGAACATAATAAACGGCATCACTAAAGCTCTGTTAGTAGATAATTTAATTTGTTGCAGAATTCAAGACTGATTTTTGTAGRATTCAAGTTCAGTATTGCAAATTTCTGCAAAAAATAGTTGTTTGCATAACAATAATTTCTTATTTCGTCAGATTGAAGACAGTAAGAAATAAAGAAACATGTTTTGGTTGAATATATTTTCAATCAGACACATTTTATCTTTCAACACAATTGACTCCATTTATTCACTTACAAATTTAAATGTATATTCTATTTTGAAATACCAACAATCTGCCACTAGATGGCGTCATTTGCTTATTTTAAATGTTCACTTCAAGCAAAGAGCCAATAAAAGCATTTTCTCTTAACATAATTGTAGTGAAGTTGTTTCACACAACGTGAACACTGCTGTTTTTGTGAGTAAAGCTACTTATATTAGCCTCTTACTAGTCTTTACTATTTTCTGCCCTGCAGAACATTAAAAAAAAAAAAACAGTTCACACTCAGGGATTTTCTAGGAACTGTCACCCACAGAGCAGCTGCTGCTGATTTATGGCTGTCAGATCAGGATCCACTGGAAACAAGATGTGGGAATTATGTGTGATTTACTCCTGTTGTTTATTTTTAAGCTGTTGCTGGACTTCCACTGTTTATGCTAGATTTCACTTAGTTTAATTTATTTACATAGTGTCAAGTCACAAAAGTTCATAGGGTTTATTTTAAAAATAAATGAGAATCAGATCAATTTATTATTTCAATAAAATACTAATCTTAATCTTAACTAATAAAATACTGATCTGTTATATAT